TATCCAGGTCAGGATTGTTTAACCAGCATCAAGGGTTAGATGCAATTTTAGAAGAAGTGAACAAGACATTAAAATCTCTAATACCTCCTGTGCCACAACTACGTCATTGGAAAATTGCTGCACGCAACTTAAAAAAATTTCTTCAGGTAATAAAATTTATTTGAATTTAAATTTAAATTTAATAAATATACATTTATTCAATTTATAATAAATTTAGCTGCAGGTCAATTTATTTAAAACAATTGGATATAAAGATATTCATTCCAATGCTCCAAGAACCCGTCCTGAATCAAGTACAGAATGTCAAAGATTTAGAGCTCAATTAAGAAATCTTGGTTTTGTTAATCCAATAAAAACAACATCTATGTATGAAAGCCTAGATGGTGAAAATGAATTGAGTGAGCAACTAAAAAATTTTAGCGATTTAGCAAAAAAGGCTAGAGAAAATTATATTGTGGAGGTATTCTGCAATAAAAATACAACTCATTTATCTAAGCCTATTCCAATAACCAAAGAAGAAGCAATTGCTCAGGAGGATGAATTAAAAATGACAAAACAAGAACTTATCATCAAGTTAGAATCTCTCCTTGAACTAATGGGTGAAAACTGTCAACAAAGATATCGTGGATTTAGATCAAAAAACAAAGGTGATTTGTTAATTATATTACAAGAGGTAAGATGTTTATTTAATGAATAAAATGAAATTAATGATTCTGATTTTGTAGTAAGTTCATTTTAAATGGTAAGGAAATGCAATTTTTGTTTTTATATTAATGTAATTAAAAGATACTAACATTTACCTATTAAGTATATAAAGAATATAAATGATATAAACATATCTATTTTTTCTTTAATTTAAAATGCATTAAAGAATATAAATGTCATAAAATAAATTTAATTGAAATTAAAAAGTATTCATAACTTGCTTTCGTGTATATATAAAAATTTGCTTGTGTTACTTTCAAAGAATATTCTTAGAAAATTTCGATAAACATTACTTACTATAAAAGGAGTGATCACCACCAACCTATTTATGGAAATATCCCTGACTGTATTTATATATTTACAAAATTCATATTCATGTCACCAACTTATTTATTTATAGGAAATGTCAGATATATATAGTATTAAGTACTTAATAACTCTATTGTTAAGTACTTAATAACTCTATTATTAAGTGTTAAAAACACAAACATGCAGAT